GTCCTTATCTGTATATTGTACACAGTAAGTTAAATTCATTCGATCCGGAGACTTAGATACAATGTAAGTATCATTATTCAATTTCAAACTTTCATATACGAGAGCTTTTGGTATCTTTACTTGCTGACGCTGTTGCTACAATCATCTTAACATCACCGGGAACAAGAGATCTTAATTCCCCAAGATTGCCATACCACTTCCGGAATGGAAGTTCACATTTCTTAGCACCAGGCAGGCCCCTTTAAAACAAAAAGTAGAAAATACAGTATCTATAAAATTACTTCATCTATAATTAAATAATTAAAAACATTAAACACTATAAACTCTAACAAAGCATGTCAAATATACATGTACAAGCAAGAGAGATGTATATATAATGGGCCATTCCATTTAATATAGGCACCCCCCCCCATTGAGGGGTCCCTTCATGATCCCCTTAGGATATAAAAAATTTAGAATGCCCTTGGATGTGATTTTTGGAAGTTATCCCCATGGATATATTTATACCCCTTCTAGGATATCGTTTTTACCCCCTTGGATATCACTAAAACACCTAATTTTTGCTATTTTTTTGAAAATGTTTTAAGCTGCCCTCTAGGAAATTTTAAGATAAAAACCCCCTGCCCCCTCATAGGAATTCCAGACCCCTCATATTACTGCCTATATTCATGGGCGTACCGGAAGGAAAAAATTAGGGGGGCGGAAAGAAAATTGCCCGACTTTTCGGGATTCTGCCCGACTAGTACCAAAAAATTTTTTCCGGAAAATTTATTTTGGCGACCCCCCCCCCCGTCGCCAAAAAAATTTCGGTCAGTGTACCATTTTAGGGGTCACAAAAATTCTCCGGACAACCAAAATTTTTCGGGACATAACACAAATTTTCGAAAAATCACATAATTTCCCAAAAAATTGACCTAATTTTAGACAAAATTGACTGAATTTGTCCCATTTTTTTTATTGCAAACCAAAATTGCCCGACTGTTGATCGAATATTGCCCGACTGCCCAAAAAACTGGGGGGCGGCCGCCCCCCCCCCGCCCGGTACGCCTATGCCTATATTAAATGGAATGGCCCAATATATATCAAGAAATTCAAAAAATATATATTCCAAATCCATTTATATGACGCACTTACCATTGACTGATGCAATGTGCTTCATCAACAGCAACACACACCAAAGAGGATCTAAATTGTTTGCTCGAGAATAATCCCTCCATGTAGTTTTGAGAAAACATTCTGGTGAACCATACACATGAGTGTATTTTCCATCAATAATATCGCCAACGATTCTATCATTGTGTTCATGAGTAACACTCACTGCAGATATATTTAGATTCTTTAGATGGCGAACTTGATCTTCCATTAAAGATTTCAGTGGTGAAATAACAATAACAATGCATGTTCCTTCACTTCTTCGAAGGAGAACATCTGCCATGATTGGTGTAGCTTGAAAAATAAGGGATTTTCCAAACGATGTCGGAAGGTTCACAAACACGTCTTGGTTAGAAAAGAACTGTCTTAAGAGGCTGTCTCCGTAAAAACCTCCAGGTCAATATGGGGCTCAAAAATAGATTTCTCTCATACTCTAGTATTTTGAAGATCTATCCTTGGGA